TAGATCCAGTCTAGGAGAAAATGTGTCTTGTTCACACACAATGTTGATTGCTTTCATCAGACAAGTTACCATCATCAAACTTCACAACTTCATAAAGTGTATTACGTACCATAAACGTCTTCGAACAACAAAAAAACACATAAATTACAAGTGTATGTTTGTCATAAACTTCATTTTCATGAATAGGAAAACCTAATGAAAATGGCATTAATCATCTAATGATGTAAAATGGTTGAAAGAATCTAATTCTACGTCTATGGAAGAAAATGAATTGATTTGATTCTGCGATCTTTGTTTGACATTGGAAGGCTGACAAGTTTTGCAGATATTACCAGTCAGGCGCGATCAACGAGAGCAGTAAATTGCTTACAATTTTCCTTTCTAACAACTTAATCAATCAGAAGTGAAGTGTATGATTCCAATGGACGGTGATCTCGGCACCAACGGTCGGCTCTCTAAGTCACAGACTCTCTGCAAAATAAGCAATAAAATTCAATCTTGATGGATCAACCCCCCAAAAAACTTGGAAGCTAATAACAACCCAAATCAATTCTGATGTCGTAAATGGAGCCAAACAAATTTATTTTATTTCATACATCTGATGGTGTTTTGTCAGTGAATGTCTAATTTTTCCATTGATCAAATTTGAGAAGAGACCTTTTTTATGTTTATCAATTTGATTCCAGATTGCTTTTGGTGCCTTGGTTTGACTATTAGCTTACATATGTAGACAGCTTTGCATAGAAACCGATATAGAGAAATAAAGACACAAAACCTGTATACCATTAGCTCATACTAATGGATCTAAGCAAAAAGAAAATTAACAATATTGCCCCGAAACAATCCAACATTTCATCAAATAACCAACAGAATTATTAACTGTTTAACCACTCCAAAATTACATTCCATTTCAGTAAAATAAGCTTATGATTCATTTACCGTCATGATGAAGCGAAAAAAAAAAATGTGCATCAGCCACAGAAACGATTTGTCAAAAGTCTTTCTAACCATGGATTGTTGACTGGCAATATCTAAGTGGGAATTACTCGAAGATTATGATATTTCCAATGTCAAATTACATGATTTATGAATGATGAATATGACTTTATTTGCGTATTTGTTAGCCATTTTCCTGATATAACTTCTTTTCTTTTATGCACAAGTTTATTTTTATAGCTTGAAATGTGGTGAACTTCACTGACTCATGATAAAATAATGATGCACAATCAAATTGGAAATTGCTTTGACTGGTAACAATTGTTGTGATGGATAGCTTTTCCAATTCTCAGATGACTTCGTTTAATATCCACAAATAGACAAGTTACAGTGACAGGGTTATCTTTATAAATACAGGTTTTAAACACATAAACATGTTTATCATTGTATTCTAAGCTTATAAGGAAAGGGGGGTAGCTTGGCGCCTAAATGTACTTATTCCTTTAATGTAAAATTCCAATATATGAAAAATATTGTTATTGCTTAACATGTTTGTATATCTGTTTCCATTTTTTATTGGCTATACTATATACTGGAAAACACCGGAAAACAACTGGAAAATTTCCGGAAAACACCATGTTATACTGAATACCGGAAAACACCAGAAAAACACTAAATACCAGAAAACACACTAAATACAGGAAACCAACCTAAATAGGTTACCCGGAAAAGTGCTATATTATAAACCGGAAACTAACCCTAACCCGGGCACACAGAGGACCAGGCTCCCGGTTACCTATTTAGGGTGCCAGTCTCCGGGTTACTGATTTAGGGTATTTTCCGGTATTTAGTGTGTTTTCCGGTATTTAGTGTTTTTCCGGTGTTTTCCGGTATTCAGAATAAAATGGTGTTTTCCGGTTGTTTTCCAGTGTTTTCCGGTATATAGCATTGCCGTTTTTTATTTAACATGGTGGATGTTATACACTAATCAGGGTATGTACCAAACAGGCCAATGAAGACAAAATGAAATCTTACTGTTCTGCCCCTATACTGGTATAATGAAGACAGGCATATTTTATACAGGAGAATTTTGTCCAGGCAGCGGCGCTATGGCCTACTTTATAACGAATTCCAACTGCCAAGGGATCTTTTTGACGTGCATGTCAGTATATACACGGGACCTCGGTTTTTCGTCACATCCTAACGACTAGACAGCTGTCCTTATCAGGCCCTCCGTCCTGCACCACTGACAACAGGAAACCACGTTGGAAAAACCTGATGAACTTTCTTGGCCAATGCAAGAATAGAACACGCGACCTCCAGGCGAGCCAGGGTCTTACCCACTTAGCCACCTTGGCTCCCCGAGGACAGGCATACAGTAGGCTATGAGTTGTTTTTTTTATATAGTAATGAAACCAAAGGAGCAAATTTGATGGATCTCTTAAGAAATAACATAAATATTAATCTGATCAACTATAAAGACAGAAGACTGTCGTCTGCCTCAATCTTAAATAATTGCATTTAAGCTAAAATTCTAAAAATTAAAGGGAGACAATTTATAATATTACACCAACTGAGACTGTCTAGAGCAAACAAAATCTAATAAAACAAACGTGATATGCAATTGAGTTTTGACTTCCACAGTCAAGAATCTTGAAGTCATGTAAATCATACAGGGAGAAATCAATATATTTATCCTGTGATTAGCGCAATATCACAAATATTTCCTCAGATAATTCAACTTGTTTGATATAATTACACGACACTTGAGACCAAGTTTATAGTTGAAAGTGAAGAGTAATGCAGGAATCATGTAACACAGTATTCGTCACTGGTCAATATTTCTTATTATAATCCAGTTCAACTGAGTCTTATCTCTTTAGTTCAACCGTATTTATTCATAAAAGAGAGATTTCATGCCTTTAAAGGCGGTTAGAAATATTGGACACGTTTAGTCAACTTATTCAAATGAGTTCTTGCGACAGAAGTATACAAGAACATTACTTTTACATTAAATTCCAATTTTCTTAAGATTGCCAGAATGCATGTACAAATTTGTAGCGCAAGTGTTCTCGTCAAAACTAATGTGAAACTGTCAGATTTAGAGGAAAACATTATACAGTAGTACCTTAATTGCATTAACCTGTTAGTATGGAAACAAAACAGTAGTCCTTATATTTGACTTCTATAACCATTCTAAATACCATAAAGTTAAAAATAGAATATTATTTTCTTCTAACAATTTAGAATGCGATTTCCGATAATCCAATCAAATACAATTATAGTATAGTACTGGAAGCAATGAATAATTCTTTCTTTTTTCCTACCAAAAAAATCATTATTGCTTTTATTCTATAGCGTAAATGTGATAAAAGTACTAACCATGAATTCATAGGATAATCCAATATAATTGAATAGCTAGCAACACTTATTCCGAGGTTTACAGTATTGTAACACTGTGACTATTGCCATTCACAATAACTTTAGTTCTACCATCACTGGAACTAACACAAAAATCAATTGAACTCGGTGATGTAATGAGACCAACACAATACCTGTACTTTTATCCAATCAGAGCCCAGTTAACAACAGCTTCTTACTGTGTCCCTAAAATATTGAAGCCCCATCAACTAATGAGGGGGTCAATAAGATTAACAAATGGTGCCCTGCAGGCGGTTTTAGAACAGGTGATATAATTGGTCAGTCAGATCTTGATTGTCAGTTAATGTCCACTTCTCTGACCTGTAAGTGGACAGGGAGGCTAGCTAACTTCCCTCGCTTCAACACCTCTGGATGCTTGGATTCTGTTTGGAGAGTGTTAGAAGAGATATTTATTAAACAATGTTTTGACAAGCCTTCGGGCTAAAATGTTTTCCAACATCCTTCTAGAAAGTCACATTTCAAAGTCCTATCATTGTTCTTCAGTGATTTATGGAAATTTAAAACTGCTTTTAGAAGTTAATTACCAAATTCAAGGAACAATCTGGATTAACTAAAGCAATGATTTAGAAGCTGGTATATCTCCAACAAGAATATAATATTGGCAAATCTTTTGTAGAATCTATATTTTACAACAATAAAGTTTCTTTTAAATGTGACAAATGATCACCCATAGATTCTAGACAAAGAGAAACAAATCAATGTTCATAAAGCTGGTGGAGAAAACACAATTCATTTTAGTCAGTGTTGTTTACGCGAGACATGAATTGGTAGGATCCAATTTATTTTGTACATAAATTGTCACTAAAAATACATTTAGATGTCGCCAAGTTGTTAACCTAACAGATAGTTGTGTCTCGGCATTATTAAACGATGTGAATGCGATATGCAGTTGCATGTTCTGCTGATGAACTTTCTAATTGTAAAGAGAGATTAATTACCTGCTAGCAGAAATCATACACCTGAATTCATTTCTCCGTGGAATAATCTCGCCAATATCCGGACATCGAGTTACATGGTTTCAATACCCAACTTGTAGTGGTCCGTCTGATACTCAATCTAACTTTAGAAGGCTGCCTAATCCCCCCTCGTAAATAACAATCTCAGCCCGAACATTAGATTAACAGTTGGAAACAGAACACTTGAGATTTGACGCATGTTGAGAGGTTTGCCGTTAATCCCTTTCTAACTCCCCACGTCTTTAAATGTCTATCAAGAAATGATTGAATTGATTCATCCAATCAAAGGAACCAAGTTCCACCATTAGCCTTCTGATAAAGTATTGTTCCTGCTACCAACACTGTCATGCGATGCCTAAATCTGATTCTTAACTTTCAAATCCTGAAAGCAAGTTCCTGAATATCGTTTTCAGCAATAAAAGACTCAAGAAAAGCCGAAAATCTTCAAGGATGAAAAGAAACCATCTCATTTCTAATCCCACAAATTGATTACATTTTTACTCAGACGGTTTTCGCAAAAAAATACTATGGTGTGAATACATAAAAGATGCATTACAATTTGTCAAATAATAGAAAAGACATTTTTATAGTCATAATGAAAATGTGCTTCTCAAAGAAAAAACAGCATTCCATCAATTATAAAATTCATCTATTTTCTTTGGTTACGGTAATTTGTAAGATCTCAAACCGAATTCCATCAATTACAAAATTCCTTTCTTTCAAATCATGCTGCACATCGATTAATATAGTTTTAAAACATTTCCTTTATGTTAAAACAGCCTAACTTACTGTTTCTGATCTTCAAGAGTACATTAAACTTTAAAAACAAATGGGATATTTTAAAACCTTTTAGAAACTATCTTTCAATATTTGTCAAAGTCTTGATGTCACTCATAACCATATTATTTTTAGGTTTCACAAAAGTGTGAGATTATTATTTTATTTGAAAAGGTTAACAAATGTTTAATAATAACTTTGTCATGGCATTAGTTGAAAATTCACACCTAAGTTTAAAGCTTTAGATGTAAAGCATGTCAAACTAGCTTTGTTATTTTTATAGGTGTAGACTTACGTAAATTTTAACTCTTATACGGTGTAACCCATTACAGATACCCTGCAGTTTTTAAAATAACACCACATCTCAGATGGAGGTTAAGAAAAAAAAGGGGTACTTGAGAAACTAGCGACCTGTAACTGACACTAAACAGATGATAAAATAATCATTCAGTAATTTAGAAAAACATTTATGGAGGTTTTGATGGTGCGCAATAGGTATTTAATGTGTATGGGGAGATAGAGATCACCTACTTTAATAATAAAAGGTAATAAAGATGACACTCAAGAGGCTGATTGTTACAGAGAAAAGGTTAATTTGAAAGATGTAAGTTTGAATATATCACAATATTGTTCAATTTGACACCTGAGTAGCCATTGTTTTCCATCTCTCTCAATACTTCTCACTTCTATCTTTTGTCTTAAGGTTGAATACTGCCGACTGCAAGTTAGTCAAGAAGAAAGTGTCTTCTCCACTCAACAGGAGCAAAACAGGCTAAGCAGGAGTTAAATAGTTAGCCCTCCGAGAATTGTCGAAAAATTAGGAAGATATCATTTCATTATTTCGCTGCTCACAGAACTCTTTTGGGGTGGAAAAAGCAGTTAAATAGGAGAATATACAGCATGATAGGTAGTCATTTCCAAACCATAACTGCAATTGGCTTTATAAGTGAGGGGTATCATACACAAGGCAGGCTATGCTTATTCTTTCTAGAATACCTGGTACCACTTCTCTTCTTTGGGGGTACTTTTGTATACATTTGTGAGATAAAAATTCACAACTGCATAACAACACCATACTCCACCATCAGTACAGAGATTAATGGAGCAAGGTATTCTCTGTACAGTCAATGAAACAAGAACTTGTCAACTGTCATGTTTCACCATTAAAATAAACAAAAATAAACATCATCTTGCCGATAAATAAACTGACACTAATTCTAAATATAAATTTACGACTTCTAAAATAACAACAGTGACAATATTATTTTAGACTAATGATAATTAGCCGATGGGATTATCACATGGGTTGTTAATTTTAATAATTGATGTCTTATGAAATACATACGTCCAGTTATATAGAAAACATGTTATACTGATTCTATTATTAGCAGATAAACAGAGCATCATTAACCTCGGTTTTAACAAAAGGTGTTAGTCTTATCTTATCATGGCCAGAGAATGAAACCAATTTCCAAGTGATGATCTACTTTTACTTTTGGTTGATGTATGTTTTGATAAATGTATTCTTTATGGTCTATTGTTCTCAACTCTCATTACACCTTCAAGTGGATCCAGGTGTGAACAGGTGAGAAATTGATCCAATCTCCCATTGATTTTGTTTTGATAGTAAGTTAGCCCCCTACCTACATCAAAGTTTTTACTTGTTAATTAATCAAGCACAAAGTGATAAGTGACCATTGTTACCAGGTGACTATAACACATTGACCAAATTGTGACTCCATTTAAGTTTACTATTTGATAATATGGTCAATTAGTTCAAACATTAATCTTATATTATTTTATATTCCTACATTCTTTCAATGTCTGCGATCAGCTGGGTTGTAAATGGAATTATGGTCTTTGTAAATAGATAGAAGCCAGTTTATAAATAAAGTATTTTACGATGTAAAAAGTGTTAATCTTCCAAAGTCCTATACCAATTTAAGATTTTTGGTAAAATTAGTCAGATTTCTTTTAAAATGCCAAATGCATATAAGATGAAATTGTATACCGTACCAACTTTTTAAAAACAATTTCATTATACAATGTTTGTTTTTAAGACATGTTAACTTTTACTTTATCAAATAAATATTGATTCATAGATCAGGTGGGGTGTCGGTGGTTGTGTTGTTAGCAGAGACAGAGACATAGAGTCTAACGTCCACTCGTCGCAAACTAGATCATTTTGGGACTAACATATGGTTCAATTATATTTTAAAATGTCCTTGGTTCAATTTCCTTTCAGGATTTATCACGTCTAGTTCTCACTTTAATTGTAGCTTGCTCACAATAAATAACAGATATTTTGAAACAAGAAATAATGTTAATGGTCATGTGCTTTCAAGCTGGACTCTAGATCAGTGATTGCCCGAGAGGACCCACAAATGTCTCTCATTCTTTCTTGTTTATAAAACAAGCAAGTAATTAAGAATCCATTCAATTTCCATCACTATCGTTCTTTTTATATTTGAACATAACAAAAATTATGAAACGCATGTTCAAACAAATAAATGAGCAATTTACAAAACTATTAACAAAGTCTTTTTTTCTATCAGAGCAGAACAAATGAATAAATAACATTTCAACTCTTTTGCCACCAAGAAAAATTCCTTTTAACACCCCGATTCCCTTGCTACATGACGTGGAAAAAAACATTCCTGCATGGTGCGAAAAATTATTTCCATCTTGTCATAAAGTGTTGGCCTAACATTACTCGATGATGTTAAACATGCAATGTATTCTTGCATTGATTACGCGATAGTTTATTATACACTGCTATAATAACATATCGCGGTCTCAGAACCAAGGCGTTTTGGCATGCCACAAGTACAATTCCCAGCACTTCCCACCTAACTAAATAACAGTGGTATTTATTCTCACTGAGTTAGTTAGAGTGTTAGATTAGAGGAACCGCTCAGTAGAATATTTTACTAGGCATGGGGTAAACATTCGACATTCTGTGTTTGGAAATTACCCTGGATCTTTAGACATGGCACAGAAAGTCATGTCTTAGGGTTCGCTCATGTTTTTGGTCTCACAATACACTCCTGACAAACCCAAGACATACCGGTACATAACAAGTTGAAGGTGAAAAACACAGTGTATCCTTACTCAACCCAAACAAATTACTTGGGACTAACATAGCAATTCTTATATTTGATTAATTCTTTTGTGGGAAAGGGTAATGAGAAGAAACTGGAGAATTACAGTCCTGAATTAGTTGCGGCCCAACTTCCTTTTATCTTTATAGCTACTGAAAACTCTTGTCAATTTTCTACCGGAAACGAAACATTTCATACAGCTACCTAATTTTATTTCTTGGTAATTTCTTTCTTTGTGAGTGGCGTTATAAGGGTATGTGTGAAAAGGGTGGTAACATGAGCTTCAGAAATACAAGCCTCAATAATAAAACACAGATTACGGCAATTAAAACTAATTGCTTCATGCTTTAATCTCTTTTAAATGGGGGGAGAAATATTGATGTTTTCTTTGGTAATGTCTGTGAAGATGCAAATCAAGAGAACAGAACCCCCATGGGACCTTTTTTTCACATTACGGTTTTGTTAAGAGCACTGACACTGGACGATTTCTTTGACTTTCTGTCTAGCAAAGCTCTTTGTTTTATCGACAGGACCACCATTTGATAACCCTCTGAGTTTTACAAGCAATTAACAGAAAGATCTCCGTCACAGAAATCAAAATAAGAGGCAAGTTTATCAGTAGTCTAAATGTAACTGTATCTAAGAAAAAAGTTAAGACTTTGACTTAACATGGTAAATAAATATGTTAACATTTAATTAACCACTTACTTCTGTAACCAATAAAGATAACAAAAAAATAGGTCGAGATAAGGTAATTAGAGGCCGAGAAGATCAGAAGTATGTCAGGATTCATTTTATGCCCTACAAGAAATGTGATCAATTGGGAGATATTGTAATCTTACAAAATATTTTCAGTTGGTTTCATTCCATATAAAATATAGAAAGAAGACTAAAATAGTTTTAGACTCAACGTAAAAAGGGTCACCTACCCAACCTTGTGGGTTTCTCTGGGTCCTCCCAAAGCAATTATGGAAATAAAATTATACCATATGTTAGTCCCGAAACGATCTAGTTTATGTTGAGTGGATATTAAACCCCATTTGAATCTATTAGCCCGTTCAGACGCTTAAGTTGAACTGGTTTAAAAACCCCGGGGATCGTTAAACCAGTTTAACTTAAGCGTCTGAACGCAAATAAACCAGTATAAAAACCCCAGCTGGCGACCTGTCTTCGAGAAGGCTTTTTATTCTAAACTGGTTCATCTTAGCTGTAAGTTACATTCCTGTGAAAATATCGGGGTCAGACAGTGCCAATGTTATCGAAAGCGTGCGAGAACCGAATAAAGAATATGAAGCTACCCATGCGTAGTTAACTCCAACCTCCGACCGAAGAGGTCAGAATAGTTAAACTGGTTTGGCTAATAGTACGTATGAATGCAACATGATGCTGTCTTAAAAACCCCAGCGATTATAAACTGGTTTAAAAATAAGCGTCTGAATGGGCTATATCTCAACTTTAAAGCTGCACTTTTAGTCATTATATGCCCAGAATGGAAATCAGAACAATTGAGATATAATCTCTCAAAAATCTTTTCAGCAAGTTTTATATAGTATAAAATACAAAAAAAAACCCCACTCAAATAGTTTTTGGCCCTTTCCATTTAAGATGCATTTTTAGTAGTTCCAATGTCATTCAACATCAAATCCTCTGTTTTCCCTGTTATTTCAACCAGAAAATTTAACTGGAACATATTCAAAAGGGATACGGTTTGTATTCAAAACCACAAAGAACACAGCAAGTCTACAAAAGCATTCAATGACAATACATAATTCTAAGTGAAATCTCCAAAATAAAACATTGAATAAATGTCCCATTAAATTAATCCACCATATTCCTTGATGTTTTAACAGTCGGATCAACACGACAATGAAGTTATCGAAGATGTTTATTTCTGCTCCAAT